AAAAAAAAAAAAAAAAAAAAAAAACGAGAATTCAGATGTCACATGCTAGTAAATTCTTAGGTACAAACGTCATGATAAAAAATTTAAATCACAATCTACACTATATTATATTAACAGGACTCGTGTAGATTTGGTTACAATCAGACACCATATTAAGTTTATATTTATCTCTCGTTCTTTTAATTTTTTTTATGTACTTATTTTCAACTATATATTCGCACAATAATATATTTTACATGTAAATTCAAAACTTTTTTCTATTTTTTAACAACATTATCTCCAAAAATTCGCTATTTAAAACAATATTTTTTCAAAAAAATTGCCAAACAGGGGTTAAGCCACAATCACATAGTTTATAGGTCACAATCATTTATCATAACAGGTCACAGTCACAAATCAATTATTTTCTTAAATTTTTTTTTTATAAATTTGTTAATCTGCAACTGTGTTATTAAACTATTTTAGTAATGAAATTTTCTCATACGAAAATGGATACAGATCAGAAAATGGAGCTGCTAAAAAAATGCAACCATAAAAACTTGTGCAAAAATGGGAAATTGTACAATTGGTCCGCAATTAGTCTCTAAATAGTAAATTCCTCAAAGTCTTTTACTTGTATTGGCACTAAATATTAACCAGTTTTCCATGCTTTTACAATCAGCAAGTATAATGTGGTGAATCCTTTGCAAATTCAGCCGGCATTGACATCCAGTATCCCAGACAGCCTCTTTGAGGACCTTCAATTATCTCCTCCACCACAATTTTGGACCCCTAAGACAACAAATGGATTCCTTCCCTTGTGAAGAGGAGCAACAATAGTGAATAAACATATACAACAATTGCATTATTGACGTCCACATAGAATGATCAGATCCTGGCATTTTCGCCTCTACTATGTGAAATATGTGTGCAGGAATATGAGCTTTTTTTTTCCTTTCCCCCCTCTAAAGTTTAACCTACAAAACACATAACATAATCTAGTAACTTCTACGAAAAAAGGTTTGTGCCGGTTTTCAAGCTTCCAACTTCCCACACAGCGGTTTATGATTTATCATTTGTTGGATATTCGAAAAACTTGCTTTACATGTAAGCTATTGATATATGAGAAACTTGTTGGATAATTTATTTCTGGATTAATCTATTTGTACAACCATAGATGACAACGTGGTTGACAATGTATGAGTTGTCAAAAAACCGATGGTTGCAAAAATAAATTGTTTTTCAAACTATCTAATGACAGTTTGACACATGACATATTGTAAATAGGATTGTCATCAATGATTGTACACCAAGCATGATTGTTTATTTCTAGTCCTTGGTGTATTTATAGTCAATGAGAAGAGGCTAGATTGTGCCTCTCCTACTGGTCATGTATTTTGCAAGAAATGATTCCATCTCTCTGCTTTCCTTTGTATCAGGATTGAAGGTTCCATGTTCAATTCTCACAATGAAGGGATTGGACAGGAAGGAAGGCCTATCTCATTAAGGATTCTCGAAGGGAGGCCAGACAAATAGTACCTGGAATGAATAATGGGCTTAATCTTAAGTGCTAAAGATCTTGATTGCGTCTCTCCTACTTAGCTTTTGAGATAAATAGTTGCGTCTTCGTGTGCGTCAAAATTCCTCGAATAGCTTGACTATGTATGTCATGCTATGTCGTACCAAGTGCTTAGGCCAATTATCTTTCATCCCCATTCACCCAATAAAGAAAATATGGCATCTCATATTTACTAGCAATAATATATGGAAATTTGATTGTCTAAATAATCTTGTACAAAATGCAGTCTGGGCAATAAGAATAGCACGAATCAAATTGAAAGTCAATAAGATCGTGTTCTGCATAATTCTGTGCATAAACTCTTTTACTCCTATGGGCACTAAATGTTAACCCACTCGTTGTGTAAACGACTAAGAAGACGAGAAACATTTACGGTACTTTTACCGTCAGGACCAACAGTATAATATGGTGAATCCTCTGAAAATTCAGCTGGCATTGACATCCAGTAGAGACTCGGTTCCCAGTCAGCCTCTTTGAGGGCCTTCAATATCTCCGTCGCTACAATTTTTGACCCTTCACTCGACAAATGGATTCCGTCGCTGAGAAGAGGAGAAACAATAGCTAATAACGAAAGTTTGAGTTGAATACAATAATTGTCAACTAACAGAACACATGGACAGGTACAAGTGTAACATTTCTTTGTTCAAAAATTGTGAGAAGATAACACTATTGAAACACAACAAAAGACTGAAATGAAACTCAGTACAGACAAATGCATATATGATATCGCATAATTCCTTCTCCTTTTTGACCCATAGGAGTAGGAGGGAATACGGGGAGGGGATTTGATCTCAGGACCTCCAAGTTAGCAGTTGGAACCTTTACTTAATACCTTTGTCCATCATTGAGTCAAGATTTACATCAGATCATGAAATTGGTCCATCTTAATATGAATGTATGAATTGGATGAATGGTTGAATATATGATGTCAATTGTAAGCTACATCTTGAATAAACATAATATCCAGGGGACAGAGTGATGCCCAGGAAACATGGTTAATGGTTAAGCATGAAGCAGTATGGCCGTTCAATTTAGAATAATGCCTGATCTCGTGACTTTAGCTGTAATATTGGACAATAAAGGCATCATAATAACCTCTCAAAAGGGGTCTATGAGTGAAACGATGGTTTATATATATATATATATACAGAAATGATCTAATGAGCACCAGTGCTCATCTTATCCTAAAGCCAACTCATTGGTGCTTAGAATAAGATGAGCACCGGTGCTCATTAGATCATTTCTGTATATATATATATATATAAAAGGAAGTCAATCATCTGATGTGAAAAGTTTCAAGAGTTTATGCGTGTAAGTATCCAAATATTCCCTAAACTGAGGTAATCTCCTCTCATATAAGGCCATTAATGCCATTGATTCTTGGGACAGGTCAAGAAAGAAACAGCTGATCAAGTAAAAAGCCCTTCACAGTTTTAAACTACTTATTATCCCGTAGCTCCCATTTTTTGATCTACAATGCATGCATATTGTCATTATTTATATTAGTGAGTTTATTCGAGGATGTTAAGATGGATGTGTGGGCATAAAAAAAAGGTGTACCACTAGATATGAGAATATATGTCAACCAAGTGGAAGCAGCACCGGTTGAGGATAAATTAAGGAAATGGCGACTAGCTGGTTCCCCTACAAGGTTTGAATATTAAAGATGAATTCTTTAGATTATGTTACTTACCTTCTGTAAAAAAGGCAACGAAATCAACATATCTGCATAGGTTCACAATTTTTCTATGAACAAGCTAGGAACAATTACGAAGGGGTGAACGAGGTCGCCAGGAAAGTCAAATTAGATGAACCAGAATTCAATGGTAGACTTGATCGGGGAAGTGTTTCTTCATGGGATTGATATTTTAGATGATTACTTGGAGTGTATGGCATGAACAACACCCAACAAGTTCATTTCTTGAATAAAATTCTTAGGGTCTGCATAGTAGCAATAAGTACTATATGGGCTACAATCAAGAGTCCAGAGTCAAATACTTTAAAAGGGCTAAAACAGACTAATAAAGAAAGAAAAGTACTTACTTAACTATCATTTAAATCAATCGTTAGATTAAATCTTGAATCCTAGTCAAGGTACTTCCAATATAAGTGATTAAAGGGCTCACATCGAGAAGCTAAGGTTATGTTGTACATTCAAAAGCTCCTTATGGCACCATTTCTAGATTTATAAATGGCTTAAAAAGTGAGATTGTGATCTTACTTTAGATTGGATTAAGTTTTTAGAGGAAGCATGGTATAAGACTATGAGGCATTAAAACTTGAAACATGCCTTTGCTTCTACCACGTGAGATGTGCACCTCACCCATCTACTATTTTTGACTGTCTTGTACTTTTTTCCCTTGCTAGGCCTAGTAATGGATATCAGTCCGCTGTTCTAGAACATCAAATGGACCAAATCCTAATGCCCAAATTTTAACCCTAACTCGAAAAGGATATACCGTGAGTGTGATATTCTTAATGTGAGAGATTGTATTAAATAAATAGCACTTACTCAAGGAATAAATTAAAAAAAGTGATTAGCAATTTATTTCTTATGGTAATTAGCAGTCTTCAAGCTAAATTTTTCCCTTTATCATTTGGTAATTTCCATTCATATTAAAAATCTTTATATACAACTAGAACAAGTATTGTTGATAAATCAAGACATTGATTTATGCAATTCTCAATGACTGAAATTTCTCTCCCCCAAAATTTCCAATTCTTTTGTTTACTCTCCTCTCTATTTACTGTTCTAGATCAAATCTGTTGGGGTTAATTTCCCGAGTGAATAGAATATTCCGTTCTTGATGTGATAGGTGTGTAATCCATTCATAATACACAGAAGCATTTAGTGTAGAATAAAAGAATTTCAACAGACAGTTCAACACATAATATTACGGATGGAGATCATGTATGGATGTCCCTAGAATCCAGTAGGCCTTAACCTTAAATAAGACTCTAAAGGAGAGATCCCACTAAATTATTCAGCTTTCATGTTATAACTCAGTCCATCCAATTAAAGGCATGAATTAATTGCGATCATGAATTATAAAAGAGATGCATAGTTGATGAATCAGAACAAAAAAAAAATAAAAATCATTCAATTTATCCAGGGAAATGATAGGTAGAAACTTACAGAAAGCAAGCTGTTTCCCAATCATCTCTTTGCTGAATCGCAGTCCAAAGATTGATGACTTTGACATCCAATACTCTACACAACTCAACTAAAGCTTCAGCATATATACCACATAACTCATTCGTCCGTTCTTGATCATCCAATGCATTACTGATTTTGAATGACAAACCAGATGTAGTTAGCTATTCAAATAGGTAAAGCATTACCAACAAGCCAATAAACTAAACTCAATTTAAGTTTGGGTTACCCAAAATATTCACGAATTTCTGCCTCATTTACAGGAGGACAAGTAAGAAAGAGTAGCCGCGTCTTCTCTGAAAGACTCTGAAAATAATCCAAAATAGTGTCAGAGTATGTGATCTTGATATAGTTGGAAACAAAGAAGAAAATTCTGCCAGTTTATAGTTTAAAATCATGCAATATAAATTTTGATCAACCTCGTTTGTACCTGCAACGTTCCACTAATTTTTTCTAGAGGGCTTCTCTAGGTTCACCAAAAAGAAAAAGAAAAAAATGCCCATTCTATAATAGAAAAGATAAAGATAACAAGAGAGAACAGATTTATGACAGTTAGTAACAGGTGAAACATAGTAATAAGCACTAGCATGTCCCCATTGCCTTGATACGATTGAGATATGCCATGTATAAAGCAAACGGAAATTTCACATTGTAAGCCAGTTTTATAGTGATGAGTTAGACCCCATGGACTTTGACACGTTATCTTAGCAGGTGTATTTCAGGGATGGGTCAAGTTTGCATCTCCTGCCCCGTGTCTAGGTGGAGTGCCAAGAGAATCTAGCTTGACACTGAGATATAAGTTAGCATGTCGCACAGGCCACATCACCTCGTAACAATTGAGATGCGCAATTTATAAGGTGAATTGGTGAAGGCAAACCTCATATTGAAACCCTGTTTTATAGTGATGAGTTAGATTCATAGACCTCGCAAAGGAGAATAGTAATAACTGTGAAGTTCCTAAAGTAACACTGCTATATCTATAGCAAGAAATTGAACAAAACTTCAACATTAATGAGAGAAGATCCTACACAATAGCAAAGCCTTCATTCCCCCCCTATAGGTCCTTACATTACGTTAAAACTGGGACCGGAGATTGGAAAAAGTGAACTGCCATTTTCTTCAAGGTTCAGTTCTGTACAGGAGTCTAGAATCTGATGATCCTTATAAAGCAGTCAAGTTATATAATTGATGCATTGGTTGAAACTTCAGATAAATAACTGTGCAAAATAGTATAGCACCAACACTCAGTTACCTTGAGATGAACAGCAATCTTTTTCATGTTTTCAACATATTCAGGAAGAGGAACATGAGCTCCGAGGCCACTTGGGTGAGGTTTCATTGCATCATTACCACCAAAATATACTATAACCAGCGAAGGCTGAACAGCTGCATCCTAAATGTGAACCATAAAGAATAATATCTTGTTGGGTGTGAATTAATAAGAAAAAAATGGAAGATAGTTCGTTGCAGACATAGTTAATATCTTGATGAAAGAAAAACAATTAATATGGTCTTGGGAACTCGGAATTTGGTTAATTTTGGGGGGTTACAAGACTATTTTCTGTCAAATTAAAGATATATATAGTTTCAGAAAATTGAATGAATGATGAAGGACACTGCAACTATATTTGAACTTCACTATAAGCATTACCAAACATATGATACCTTTGGAAAAACCTGATCCAAAACTTGAAGAGCAAGTCTTGAGTTCCAACCAGAATATCCTCGCAGTACTATATCTGCCTAGATCAATTGCCATGGAAACCAATTTTAATTGGATATATATCTTTTAGTGAAGTGGAAAAGTAAGAATAAAATCAGAAGTTATCGAGTGACATTTGAACAGTCAAACCATTGAAAATATGAAAATTTACAAATAAATTCATATGTTTAAGAATTACATTACCCCTCTATCAGAATGTCCAACTACATCTATACAAGCAACAACCCTTGCAAAAAAGCTAAGCCTTTTTCCCAATAAATTTAGGATCAATTAAATGAATTATCTTTCCACCATTTAGATTGATCAAAAACTATCATCATAAGAGGATTGATATATATAAAAAATAATTTTTAATGTTTTATAATTTAAAATTATGCAATCCTCTTAGATTCTCTCCATTTCATCCAAACCACTATAGTCCTATGTATTTCATTCTCTCAAGTCCTTGTTACTTATAACAATCAAACATAAAACCTGAATAATCATTGTTTAGACAGCATGATCCTCTGTTTCAATCCCACCATCATCCTTATTTCTATCTTGACTAAAAAAAGCCATTTCACATATTGTCTCAGTACTACCTAATATAAACCCTTCAGATTCTGAAGTACAATTCCAAAATTTCAACGTATGACCTACCTACCTTCCTCTTAGTCTCATTGACTAATAGCAAAAAGTATGCACAAATACTTGTATTCAATATTTTTTGGATGTTTATTAGCAACTCAAGCAAGAAGATAAGACGTTGGAGCACAACCTTGGCGCAAGCCCATTATAATGGTAATTCTATTGATACAACATATGCTAAATCTTATCCCCATTATTTCATCCTCATACATACTTATAAGGATGGCGTCTGTAATATTATTTTCTACCCACCATGACAATTTTGTAAGAACTGTCTGCTTGTAATCCAGAAACAACCATTTTAGTTTGCTTCTTTTCTGCTTTCAGCTTTCTTTTCTATCACTTGTAAGATAAGTACACTACTTCCATATTGGATCTTCCTACACAAAAATCAAACTCGTTCTCTAAGACCTTTTAATTATATCTAAATATATGCTCAGTCATCATCTCTTGTAATTTTAATAGTAATATCTCTATTGTTTATGAGCCTGTTTATGCGCATTTTTCTCCCAAAATACATTTTGGAATAGTATTTTGACGAAGAACGTGTGATTAAAAAATAATGAAAAGATTTGGATTTGCATGTAAGATTATTTTAGTGAAGAATGTGCGGTTGAAAATAAGAGAGAAAAATATATTTTGAATATAATGGGGACCAAACAAAAGTTACGTGAGCAGTGAATATCTATTTATCTTATAGACAGGGATTACACCACTCTTGCTCCACTTATCTAACAATGTTTACACTTTAAGAACTCATTAAATAATTTTAAAAGCCACACAATTTTGACCAATTACTTGGGTAGAAAAACTCCTTAAAAATATAGAACTCCCATTTAAAACTGGCGTAATTATATTAAGTTTGGTTGGAGGGATCTAACTACTGTTAACTCCGACCTATCACTGAATCACACAAACATTTCACTTGTATTTCTAAATCTTCAGTAGCTGCAGCATGGTTTCAATACATAGAAAGTTGTTCATTGGCCATATTATCAAAAGCCCGGAATCGGTAACCACCTGTACTGACAAATCCTTCCGGAAAAAAAACATAGAAATAACAATGTAGAAGCCATGAACACGATGAAAGAAATTCGAGCAGTAGCGATTAGAAGAATAGTACCTTACGAGCGTAGAGGTCAGCGAGGATAGCACCCCACCCTCCAAAGCTATAGGATATTTGCACTATGGATGATCCGAACAGCACGATCTGTGGCCGACACGGTCCCACCATTGTTCCTCCTCCTCCTCTCTTCTGCGTCTCAAATTCTCAACGGGCTGCTATTTGGATTTTGGGGGCTGAATCGGTTCTGGTTTCCTATAAACAATTTGAGAGCTTCACGTCAATCCCAGTGTATATATTTGTCGTGTTGTCATGCAAAACAAAACTGCCATGGCCCACTTGGTTCCCGAGTTGCACGTTTACGTGCTGCTTGAGATTTTTTTTTTTTTAATTCATATATGAGAAGAATCCAATGTACCAAATTTTCGATTGTTTAATAATTGGAATCTACGGATATAAATTTAGCCCTTGTTTGTCTCCCATTATATCTCATTATATTACATTAAATTTTTCTCTCTCTTCATCTCAATCATACATTCATTAAATAAAATAATAATACACATAAATCTAAAACTTTTCAACCACACATCTCCCATCAATCACTATTTTAAAAATTTTCAACCCCCTAAAAATCTACAATAATGGGGGCCAAACAGGGGCTGAATGCAGAGATGATAAGGCTGTTGTATTACTCGTATTTGCCCTCTCAATGAAGATATTGTTTGAAAGAAACAAATAATGACTTAAAGGGCAAAAATGAAATTTACAACATTTGAAAATTTGACTTGAATTGCAACTGTACTTTGTGCGCAGGAAATGTTAGGTAAGTATTGAATATTTCAAACATGGGTCCCACATTTAGTCAAAAATGAGTAGAAAAGTAAGGTAGAAACACGAGAAACTGGCCAAAAAAGTGGGTGTCAAATGGGGCATAGTCTCATTTAAAATTATGAAAATAAAATTAATTTGAAAGCGATAAAATGATTGGTAAAAAATTTGGCCACTCAGTTTTAATTTTTTGAAGTTAGAATTAAAAAAATGGAATTGGGCTGAAAATAGAAAAATGATATTTGTTTGGCCCCATTATAATGAGATTTTTGGAATAATGTATTTTGAAGGGTAATTGGCGCAAAACGTCCTTACCTTTGACGAGTTTTGTGCAAAACGTCCATACCTTTTGTTTCTTAACACAGAACATTCATACCTTTCACATTTTTGGCACAGAACATCATTTCCCCCAATTTTTGACCATTTTACCCTCCAGTTTAAATAAAACAAAAAAGAAAAGAAAAATAAAGAATAAATTGTAATCCGTTTCTAAACTTTTTTAAAAATGCAAATCAGTCCAAAAAACTCCTTCACTTCACATTCATTCTTGGGACTATTCAAGTATTTGCACACCATCGGGTAGAGCTTTTGAAACGTAGGCAAAGGTGAATCTGAGTCCTTGAGCTTCTTCATAACGTTGGCAATTATTTTTGTCAAGTGGGTCGCGCAGGGATTCGAGTGCGCTGCGCAGAGAACATCTAGGAGACGGAGGCTCTCCTTCTTCACAACGGGTTTCAAATTATTGCCAGTGTCATAGAGGCAGGTGAGGAGCATCAAAACACCGTCATTTGATAATTTTCTATAATTTTTTAAAGGTCATCCACAGCTAATTGGTAGGTGTCGCGGTTTGAAAGTTTAGATAGAGAGTTGATGATTTTCTGTTTCAATTCAACCATGGCTAAATGAGATGATGAAGATGAGTAGAAGATGATCTTGAAGGGGTTGCTTGGTTAGGGGATTTTGTGGGTTTTGAGGGTCTCCGTAAACTCATTTTGAAATCTTGATAAAAGATTTGGCCAACAATGTTTCATGAATTAATTCAGTTTCATGGTATGTTGTTTGAAGTGATTTGGGGCCATATTCTGTGTCGCCTGGACCTGGGCAGACAGTTCATGGTGGTTCGAGACCCCGGAGGAAAGATTTCCGACAGCTTGCAGAATTTCAATTTGCTGGTTTTGATGCATGATTTCGAGCGTATAAGTGGATGGAATGGGGAGTTCTTTAATGAAAATTGTAGAGGATGTTGAGTAGATTAAGTTGGTAGTAATAACCGACGGTTTTGGTGACTGAAATGAGGTGGAAATTGGGTCCATAACTGGCGGCTAGGAGCTCCTGACGGTTTTTTTTTTTGGTTTTTAAAATATTTTTATGAGTTTTGGACTGCTATGCATTTTTAAAAAAGTTTCGGAACAATTTTTTCTTTATTTTTCTTTTCTTTCCTTTTCTGTTTTATTTAAATTGGAGGGTTAAATGGTCAAAAATTGGGAAAATTGACGTTCTGCGCCAAAAATGTGAAAGATATGAACGTTCTGCTTAAAAAAATGAAAGGTAGGGACGTTATGTATAAGACCCGTCAAATATAGAGACGTTTTGCGCCAATTACCCTATTTTGAAATAGTAATTTTTGGGAGAATGTGTGATTAAAAAACTAGAAATTTTTTTTATTTACGTGTAATATTATTTTATTAGAGAATGTATGGTTAAAAAGAAAAAAGAAAGAAAGTATTAAAATTTTAATGAGGCCAATCATGGGATAATTAGTTGGCAAATGCAACTTGGAAATAATGTTTTTGAACTCTGTTAATTAGTTGACAAATTTATTTAGAAAAAATTAAGGAGATTCGATATTTCGATTATTGGTCAAAAATCAAGAATCGAACCAATTACATCGGTTCTTGATTTTGATACTCATTCAAATATTTAACTTAGGTCGTGTTTGTTAAGTCAACCAAAATTACTATAGTATAACTTGAAGTGCATTTGACAGAGTTTTATCACTGTTTCAATTCTCTTTCAATTTTATCCTCTCTAAAACAATTACTCCCTCTGTTCCATAAACATATATTTGCCATCTTTTTCATATGTCTCAAATTATAGATCACTTTCCTTATTAATTGTATATTTGATTTCTTAATTTTTTAAATATATCTCAATTTAGCCCTATTTTGGCTCCATTAAAAATAGATTTTGGATAAAAAAAATTTATTTTGGAATAGTGATTTTTTTGAGAATATGTAGTTCAAAAATTATGCATATATATATATATATTTATTTATTTTTCCCCTGAAATGAATCACAAACTTGGGCTTAACTTACCTTGTTATCAACAAATATAACTAATCTTATTTAAATTATTATTTGATATAGGGGTACTATGTTAAACCATTGATATTTAACATCAGACTAGGTGAGAACACCAGTGTTATTAAATTATATGTTCAATTAAATGAATCGCATAATTTTACCTTTAATTAAACATATCGTATAATGCTACATAAATTAACGTTCTATCACCAATGGTGTTAGATAACATTATTTTTAGGAAATGTATAACTATATATTCTTAATCTATGTGAAAATGAAAGCACGTCTATATTTATGGAACATGGTTTGTATTTTTTTAATTGCGAGGCAAAAAGGCACTTTTCTGTAAAAATTGGTTAAAAAGTAAAAATACTACTAATACAATAAAATTTACTCGTGAAATATAAAAAAATTATAAGTAAAAATGCAGTTATGTGTAAAAATTACTTATAAGCACCATATTAACTTAAAATTATAAAATATACTTATATGTGAAAATTACTTATGTATTAAAATTTTAAATATTTCAAATTTTAAGTTAAAACTTAAATGTAAAAAAATTACTTGTAAGCAAAACATCATTTAGAAATACTTATAAGTGATGTACAAATTTACTCTATAAAAATCATCCAAAATTGAACTTCTTATAAATGCACTTAACCACTACTTTTGAAAGGAAAAATTCATAATTGCCTGTTAAAATAAAAGCATTCACTAATATACCACAAATAGGTTTATAATATAGTGCTTGTTTGGGAGGAATTTTTGGAGGAAGAATTGATTTTGAATAGTGATATGATGAGAAATGTATGGTTGAAAAAGAAGAAAAAATTATTGATGTGATGATGAATATTATTTTATTGAAGAATGTGTGGTTGAAAATGAGAATTGATTTACTGTAGAAAAATCCAAATCCTTCCCAAACAGGACCCTAGTTTAATTTATATTAAGCAAGNTCTAAATCCCTCCCAAACAGAGCCATAGTGTATAAAATAAAGTCAGAGATACTACTTCCTACCATTTCTTTGTTACAAAATTTTAACTGAAAATTAAAGAATAACTCATCTCATGCTTGCATTAATTACATTACCAAAAAGAACACAAATTCAAAAACCTATAAGGACTAGGCGCGAGAACACGAGAGAAGAGGGATTAATTGAGTTTGTTCACCTGCAAGAAAAAGTAATCACCATTAGCTCAACTGTTGCTGTGAAATTTGAGAAATTCTTGAAATCAGATTTGGCTTGTGTTCTTCCATTGTTCTGCTTTTTCACAATGTAATTTCTTAATCTTTGGGAAATGGTAACAAATTACTCGGATGTACAATAAGGCCCTGTTTGATAGGGCAAGTTTTTCATCGTGGAAGATGAAAAACTTTTTCCCATTTCCATTTTTTAAAGTGTTTGATGGGAAACATTTTCCAAGTAATTTGTTTTCCACATTTTCTTGCTTTTTGAGGTAAATCAATTCCCATCACTTTGGTGGGAATTGTTTTTCTATGCAGCTTTTTTATTTTTATTTATTTATTTTGCAATGGAAACAAATTATATTCTCAATTGTAACAAATTATATCCCTTTAATGAACACTAAAAGATCTAAAATTTCAATATTTTTCAGGTGAAAAATTATACTAATTAAATATAATTAATTGATAATTCTTAGTAAAATAAGTTTTAGACAATTTAATTTTATAAAATTCATTTTTTTCACTTATATTTCATTCTTGCAATCAAACGAATAGATAAAGCGACTTTGTTGGACAGTAGCAAATGGATAAAGCCATTGATTATGGGAACTCTTTATTGTTGACCAGAAATGGATAAAGCCACTTTGTTGGACATAAGCAACAATCTTCTCAACTGCAACAATTGTTGACTTGGGCATATTGCATGCATGAAAGGACAATCCTTTTAATTGACTTTTTGGAGTGAATTAATGAATTGAAGAGGAAATTGCAACAAACCAGAGGAATTGAAATAGTAGTCTTCCTCTGGTTTGAGTTGGGCCAATCACAAATGAAAATTCAAATTTGTGTTAAA